ACAGATGGTTTTAGTATGAAAATATCAATCAAATTATTTAAATTATCAAATATGTTTTCAATATAAAATTTATTCAGAATGTATATGTTAAAATTTATTATATTTTTTAAACTAACATAAATCTAAATCCATATTTATCATCATATCATATTTTAAATTAATAAAAATCTATCAAGTATTCTCTTTTCAAATTATTCTATCTTCGAACAACTGAAGTGAATATTCATTAGATTTTTCAATAATTCTTGTAAATATGAAGAAATATTAAAAATTATTTATATTGTATAATATTTTTTTGAACAAAAATAATCAAAAAACAATTATGGCAAATTATTTTCTAATTTGAATAATTTACCATAATTGTTTTTGATTGTATATAGAAATGTTCTATTACCATTTCTACTGTTCTTTCATCAAAAATATAATTCTTCAATTGTTTGTCATTCCTTTAATTTTTCATTAATATTGATATTTAAATAATAATAATCAAATCAAAACAAATAAAAAGTAGATAATTAAATGTTAATAATTTTATATTATTCATTATTCAATGTAGATTATTTGTTTTAACAATGTATTTTCATTATCTATTAGTTTATTCTTTGATTTTAGTTGTTGAATTATGATAATTTCATTTTCTCAATTATTTGGTGTGGAATAGAGTATTTAAACATCAATTATTTAAATATTCATTATTTATTTTCTTTTTGATTTTGGTGAGTATTAAATTTCTTCTTTATTTTCTTATTTTAAGGAGAATATATAATTATTACTGTATTACTATTGGCTAATATTCTTTTTAGAATCAACCACTAAACCCTTTTTCTTTGATAATCTTATATTATCAAATATACTTGTATCATAACAAGTAATAATAACATCTTTATAAATACTCATTCTTTTATTATCAATGATATCACATTATTGTAATTAATAATCACTGTTATTCTTGCAATAGCGATTAAGATGTTTTTCTAACTAAATACAACATTATAATCAGTCCATAACTGGTAGATTTGAACGATGATAATATTTTAGGGAAATGTGTGTTGTCTCTGATGTGATATCTTCGAATCTAATTAATAATAATAAAAATAAAGAAAGAAAAGAATAAATTAAGAATGAATAAAAATAAAAGAAAATAGAATAAATGAATTCATAATTGTTTATCATTCATTATATCATTCATTTTATTCATATTTTATTTCTTATTATTTAATGTTTTTCATAATAAACATCAATTAATAAAAATAGAATGATGATAAAGAATAAAAAAGAAGAAATTAAAATATAAAAATAAAAGAACTAATAAAAACAAATAATAAATAATAAATCAATAATGAAATTAGGATATAACGAAATAATGATAGTATCAATGTACTTTGATGATATTAAAGATTTTATTAATTTAGAAATTGGAATTAAAAGATTTCAAGGAAATATGGAACGATTTCATTTTAATCCAATTCCATTAAATAAATATTCAAGAAGATTATTTACTAATATTGAAACATTTCATATTTATAATTATACTGATGAAGAATTTAAAGATGGAAGAATATTTAAACAAGTAATATGGTATAAAGTATATTATTCAACATATTTAAAAGAGAAAAAACAAGGAAATATCTGTAAAAATATAGAATATACAAAAGAAGATAGAAATACATATGGAAATACAATACCATCAGAAGTTAAATCACTTGGATATAAATGTTTTGATGAATGTTATTCATTAAAATCAATTAATATACCATCATCAATTAATGAAATAGAGCTGATTGTTTTAAAGATGTTCATCATTAAAATCAATTAATATACATCATCTGTAGTTATAGGATATGGATGTTTTCAGATGTTCATCATTAAATC